GCGGGCGGCTCCCGGGGGGGGGGGGGCTGGGGAGTTCTGTGAGTGCACCTCCGGGCGGGGGGCTCCCTGAGGGGGGCTGGGGAGTTCTGTGAGTGCAGCCTCCGGGCCCAGCAGGACTCAGGGCTGTGGCTTTCAGATGCCCCATGGTGTGGTCACTGCAAGCAGCTGGCGCCCATCTGGGACAAGCTGGGGGAGACGTACAAGGACCATGAGAACATCGTCATCGCCAAGATGGACTCGACGGCCAACGAGGTGGAGGCGGTCAAAGTGCACAGCTTCCCAACGCTCAAGTTCTTCCCGGCCAGCGCAGACCGGACGGTGCGCCTCGGGCGGCGGGGGCCTGGGAAAAGCTCGGCCTACAGGGAGGGGACCCCTCCCCCGGGGTCTGCTGCTCACCCCCACCCCCTTGCAGGTCATTGACTACAACGGGGAGCGGACGCTGGAGGGCTTTAAGAAGTTCCTGGAGAGCGGCGGCCAGGACGGGGCCGGGGACGACGACGTGAGTGTCCCCTGCGGGGCTCGGGCCATGGCCTGCGGCCACGGGCCACGTGCTTCCTGGCCCACTGGCCACGTGCTTTCACAGCCTGCGGTCCACTGGCCACGGGCTTCCTGGTCCACTGGCCACGGGCTTCCTGGTCCACTGGCCACGGGCTTCCTGGCTGGTGCTGGTGGTGTGCAGGGGCCGGGCCGGCTTCCCTCGCAGCCGGCACCAGCAAGGGCCAGGGCCGCTTGGAATGCCGTCTGGCTTATGAAGTCTGCCCGCTTGTCCCGCGCGGTCCCTGCTGGCGGGGACTCCAGAGGGTTTCCCCGGCCCGTTGGCCGAGCCGCCCTGTACCAGCTCTGGTGCCCCCCGTGCAGTGGGGGCACCAGAGCTGGTCCCGGGCCGGAGGCTGCTGACAGGCAGGGAGAGGGGGCGTGGTCAGGCCAGGGAAGTGGGCAGGGGAGCCGGCAGCACAAGCTGCCGCAGTTGTGGGCACTGCCCGGCAAACCCTGAGGCTGGAGGGGGCACTGCGCCCAGCGGCCGTGCTGGGTCCTCCGAGCTGGGCGGGACCCGGCTCCGCAGAGGGCAGGAGCCTTCACCTCCCGACCCCCCCCCTCCTCGCCAGGACCTGGAGGACCTGGAGGAGGCGGAGGAGCCGGACCTGGAGGAGGACGACGACCAGAAAGCTGTGAAGGACGAGCTGTGAGGGGAGCAGCCGGACCGCCGCCTCGCTGCTGCGGAGCCGGCCGCCGGCTGCACCCTGGGACTGAGCACCTCGGAAATGCAGGGAACCTCCGAAGCCACACTCACGCTGACACTCGTGTACATTCAGCCCGTCTTCTGCTTCATCTCGGGAAGGGCTTGTCTCCAGGCCAGCCTCGGGGCCTTTTTAATTTGTGATGTACTTTTTTGTACACGGTTTTGACCTGAGCGCTCGCTAAAATGCTTTGGAATCTCACGCTGGCGATGTCAGCTGCCTGTTAGGTTCTATGCCATCACTAGCACGGTTCGTCTGTGGGATTTTTAGGCATTTTGGGACGGCAGGTTCGGTCCCACCCTGGCCGGGCCCTGGAGACAGGTGTCCCCTGTGGGGGTGCAGGCTGGTGGCCTCACCTGGCAGTGGTGCGAGGACTGAGATTCCCACGCTGCCTGGTCAACAGAGACGTCAGGTCTCTCGCAGGGGCACCCCAAGACAGAGGGCGGTGGGCACCCTGGGCCAGCACAGACCCCCACACCCACCCACCCACCCAGACCAGCACCCAGCTGGTCTGACTCTGGCCTGGCCCGCACTGCCCAGACCTGGCCTCCGTTCCCGCGGGCACAGCGCGGAAGTGCCCATTCCAGGCATTTCGAACACATTGGAGCTGAACATTGGCCAAATAAAGTTGAAATTTTACCGCCTGCCTCTGTGCACGACCTCCAGACCACGGACGGGGGTGGGTCCTGACGGGAGAGGAGGGCTTGGGGGCCACGGCCCCTCTCAGGGCTCATGCAGGCATAATGCAGTCCCCGTCCTCACATCAGTCTCAGGTATGAAGCCTCAGCCACACAGGACCCGGGCAGAGGGTGGGGTGTGGCTGGCGCTCCCAGGGCATCCGTGGTCTGTGGGTCCGGACAGGACACGGGTCTGCAGGTGGTGAGATGTATGGGCCTCAAGGGGCCGGATGACAGCCTGCCCCGCTGCTAGGAAGCCATGAGTCCAGGAGCTCCACTTGTGGTTGCAGACGAAGGGGTCGTCTGCTGCCTTGGGCAGAGGGCCCTTCTGAGCCGGGTCAGGGGGACCTCAGGCCTGCGGTGCCTGCCTGGGTTCAGCTGACCATCCTTAACCCCTGACCCAGAGCCCAGCAAAGGGCCCCCCACTCCTTGGAGGGGGAATGCAGGTCCAGGGCAGTAATGAGCCCACAGGGTCCACCCAAGGCTCTGCCTCCACTTGCTCTGAGTGGGAAGCGTGCGTGTTCCGACCCCCCTTCCCTGCTCCAGGCCCGGGCAGGTGCCGGCATCATAGCCGCAGACGGGACTTGCCGTAAACGTGGTTCTCCCTGTCACGGCGCGTGGGAAGTCCGGAGTTGATTCCATCACGCACCCTCCTGCGCGGCAGGAGACCCTGTGCCTGCCCCCCCTGGGTGTGGATGCAGCTGCTGGCACCAAAGGGCTGCTCCTGCCGCCGACCAGAGCGAGTGCAGGGCAGAGTGGCTGGGGGTGCTCTGGCAGCTCTGGGAAGCCAGTCTGTCCCAGCACCGGGTCTGGGCCGCCCCTCCATCCAGCTCATCGGCCGGTGTCCTGGCTCCAGTGGCCTGTGCCAGGGCTGCTGACCAGCCAGTCTGCCCAGTGTTCCACGTGGTGCCGTCCTGCCAACAGCCAGGCCTCCCTGGTGGGGGGTCGCACCCTGGGGGAGGTCGCCCTGAAGGCAGCTCTGCCCCCCAGAACCCGAGCGGTTCCGGGCTCCGGGCTCAGCCACAGTGGGCTGTGCTCAGTGCTGCACTCCTGCCCGCTGACCCTGCCGTGCCCCTGGGACCAGCCCAGAGGCAGCAGCCCTGCCATCACCATCATGTGCTCAGTCACCAACCCTATCCGTCCCCTCTGCGGACAGCTGGGCTGCACTGCTGGAGGAGGCAAGTGGAGCCCAAGGCCTGGCAGGGCCCACGGGCTAGTGGGCGACTCCCCAGGACAGTTAGGCTTAACAGCCTGGACGCCCCAATCTCTCCCCTCTCCCTCCCTCCCTCCCTCCCTCTCCATCTCCTCTCTCCAGGTGATAAGACGCCACTGCCAGGTGTGGCTCAGTGGTTGAGTGTTGACTTAGGGACTGGGAGGTCATGGTTTGATTCCCGGTCAGGGTTCAAGGCCGGGTTGTGAACTCCATCCCCAGAGGGGGGCATGCTGCTGACCCATGATTCTTTCTCACCTTGATGTTTCCATTTGTCCCTCTCCCTCTCTCAAATCAATAAAGATAGATTTTTTAAAAAGAAAAATAAAACTGTTATTTATTTTAAAAAAGAAGGAAGTAGCCACTGGCCTGGAACCCAGACCCGCAGCTGCTGGGGGATGCAGGCCTCTGGCCTCAGCGGCCGCTGGAGGGAGACGCCTGATGCGTTTCCAGGCGTGCTCTCTGCATGACGTGTTTTCCTCCACACCCGTCCTCCTCCTCCGGTGGCCGGAACCGGAAGGCACGCCAAGCAGGTCGCTGCCCCAGTGCCAGGCGTGGAAGGGCCGGGCAGAGCCGCCTAAACACAGGCTGGGTCCTGGCGTGGCTGCGGGACATGCAGGCTGAGCCGTGGGCAGGGAGGCTGCTCGCAGCAGCTCCTGACGGCTGGTCTCCAAGGTGGCGGCTCAGGCCGAGCCCCTGACGATCGTTTGGGGGGGGTGTTGTGACTGGGAAGGCTTTGGCCCAAATCCCTTCTCTGGTCCTAAAAGGAGACACACACACACACAGACACACTGGGCTTGTCAGCAGCAGACAGACCGACAGACAGGAGGAACAGGGGCCTCGAGGAGTCACCGACAGGGACCAGCCTGCCCTGGCCCTGGGCCTGGTCCCTCGGGGAGGGCGTGCCTTGGTGGCAGCTTTGCCCCGATCTTCACCTGATCCTCTGAGCGGGAACAGTGGACAGAACTTTCCACGACATCAGAAACGATATCTCCACGTGAAAGGAAAGTCCTCATCTCCCAGCTTCGTGTGAAGCCAGAGAAACTGTACCTGCCTCCTCCCCAGCGGCCGGCCGGGGTGCGACCACCCAGCGGCCCTCGGAGCCCTACGGCGCAGGCACAGGGACCCGGGCCTCATCCTCGGTCGGGCCCTGCAGGGAGGGCAGGGTGGGTGGGGGACCGCCAGGAAGGCAGTCCAGCGTCGCTTCTCTGCAACATTTGTTTGGCACAAGGCTTTGCACCCAGAGGGGGTCAAGTACAAGGGCGGCAGCAGCAGGTTCAGCTGCCAGCCGTCATTACCTACCAGGTGAAGCTAAGTAAGGGTATGAGCTAAGAAGACAGATCAACCCCAGCTGGTGTGGCTCAGTGGCTAGAGCGTCAGCCTGCAAGCTGAAGGGTCCGGGGGGCTGGGGGGGTTGATTCCCGGTCAGGGCACAGGCCTGGGTTGTGGGCTTGATCCCCAGTGTGGGGCGTGCAGGAGGAGGCCGACCCATGGTTCTCACCATTGATGTTTTCTCTCTCTCCCTTCCTCTCTGAAATAGTTTTTAAAGAAAAGAATCACAATGCCAGCATCAGGTGTGCAGGCTGCCCCGGTCCCACAGGCCTCCCTGCCCCCCACGTGCTGCTGTGTGTCCTCCGCATCTGCGACTGGCTCCTCTCAGGCCCCCTCAGCCCGAGGCTGCTGCGGTGAAGGCAGGTGCCTGGCCCGGCCAACACGTCGGTTTTTTAATATGTATGTTATTGGGAATTGAGCCCAAAACCTGGGCATGCGCCCTAACCGGGAATGTAACCGTGTCCTCCTGACTCATAGGTCGACGCTTAGCCACTGAGCCAAACGGGTTTCAGCTGGGTCATCTTTTTAAAAATACATATTTTTACTGGGGAACGAGCCAGCAACCTGGGCATGGGCCCTGACCAGGAATGGAACCATGTCTCCTGATTCATAGGTCAAAGCTCAGCCACTGAGCCACCCGGCCGGGTGGGCATTTAACCCAGGAGGTTCCCAGGCAAGAGGGCAGTGCCATGGAGGCCCACGTTTTGGTAAAAGAGCCAAGAGTGACAGCCACCACGGGAGGGGAGGGGAGGGCGAGGGTCGGGCGGGGCCTTCCCAGGCAGCCCCAGCTTTGTGGGCGGTGGAGCCAGCCTCGCCCTCACCTCCCCGCGTCCAGGCCGGGCCCCTGGCGCCTGGCGCCGGCCCACAGGCCTTGTCCTTGCGGTGTCCTCTGGAAGGCACCTTTCGGCCCGTGGTGGAGCTGGGTGCGAGGGCCAGGAAGGATCTGACCCCTTTGGCCGGGCGCGGCGACAGGTGGGCTGAAAGACGAGCCGAGAACTCGATCTGTGCCGATCTGAGCGCGGGGTGGCCAGCGGCTCAGTTTCAGCTCTCACGGGGGAGCGTGACCGGCAGCTTTATATAGCTCCGCGGCCGGCCGGCGGGAGGCGTCCTTGCAGAGGGAGCATCGGAGCATCCATCGCCGTCGGCCGGAAGCCCCGCTCGGCTCGGAGACCCTGCCCGCTGCGCTGGGCGCAGGCCTCCCCAGAGCAGGCCCCCACAGGGGAGGCCCCCCGCTGCCCCCGAGATGCCCAGCAGGACGGTCCGCTATGTGGCCTACAGCCCCCGGCAGCGGCGCCGCCGGATGCTGGCCCAGCGCAGCGTGCGCTTCCCCAACGACGTGCTGTTCCTGGACCACATCCGCCAGGGCGACCTGGAGCAGGTGGGGCGCTTCATCCGGGCCCGCAAGGTGGCCCTGGACACGCTCTACCCCTCAGGTGAGCCCTGCAGGGCCAGCCGGGTCTGAGGGTGGCAGGGGGTGGTCTCGGCCCTGACCCCTGTCCGGTGCTGTCCGCCCAGGCCTGGCAGCTCTGCACGCGGCAGTCCTGTCTGGGAACCTGGAGTGCGTGAAGCTGCTGGTCAGATACGGGGCAGACATCCACCAGCGCGACGAGACGGGCTGGACGCCCCTGCACATCGCCTGCAGCGACGGGTACCCCGACATCGCCAGGTGAGCGGGCCGAGCTCCCCCGCGCCCGCCCACTCCAGCAGCCTCCAGGAGGTGTCCCCCAAAGCCGGCCCTGGCGGGTAGCTCAGGGCCCTCGGGGCCGTGGCGGCTCCTCTGCCCGGTGTCCTCCGGGCGCGGACGGGGAGCCAGGAGCAGTTCCTTCCCCAAGGGGCCGGTTCTTGCCCCCCAGCCTCCCTCGAATAGGAAGGCAGGCGGGTCCCGGCTCCAGCGGGGTCCCGGGTGGGGCCAGGTCCCGGCCTCTCCCGCTGCAGCCGGGCCGCTCTGTGCGCAGGTTCCTCCTCTCCCGGGGAGCCGACCGGAAGGCGGCCAACGACGACGGCGACCTGCCCGCCGACCTCATCGACCCCGACTTCCAGGACTTGGTGGAGCTCTTCCAGGGCGCCGGGGTGGGCTAGCCGCCCGCCCCGGCCCCGCCCCGCCCCGCCCCGCCCCGGCCTGGCCTTTCCTCCAGGCGCGTTTTGTACGGTGACACTTTGTACTTTTTCAATAAACGTGACGCCCGAACCCGCGGTGCCGTCTTCCTTCCCGGAGCCTCGGCGCGCGGCGGCCCCGCGCCGGGGTCACGTGGCCCGGCCCCGCGCGGCGCGTGCGCGGCGCGTCACTTCCGGCCGGGCCCAGCTGGCGGCGGCGGCGGCGGCGAGGTGAGGCGGCGGCGGGGGCGGAGCGGGCGCGGCCGGGACCCGCCCTGGCGCGGCGGCCGGGAGGGCCGGGCAGGGCCCGGGCGGGTCGCGGAGGCCCGGGCGCCCCACCCACCCCGCCCCGCGCGGCCCCGCCGGGCTCCCCGGCCCGGGCGCGGGAGGAGGGGGCGTGGGGCCGTGGCGCCCGGGCCGCCTGGCGGCCTCGAAGCTGTCGCCGCCGCCGCCGCCGAGCGGGATCGAGGGCCCGTCCCCCGTGGAAAGGGCCCCTCCCCGGGGGCGGCCCTTCCGCAGCCTCCCTGCCCCTGTGTCCGCCGGCCCCACCCCTCCCTGCGGGGCCGGGGCCGTGCGGGCGCCCGGGGGTGCGACCTGCACCCCCTCCTCGGGGGCTCGCGGGGCGGCGGGAGCGGATGCGCTCAGGGTGGGAGCCGGGGCATCGTCCTTCCTGGGACCAAAGCGCAGCCCCGGTTGTGGCTGCAAAACCTCCAGGTGCCCAGGTGCACAGGCTGCGTCCCCCGCCCCCCGCCCGGCCTGTCCCGAAGGAGGCGCCTCGCAATCAGGTGGCCCTCACCTGCACCCCGGGATGAGGACGGGATGAGGACCGGATGGGGCGGAGGGCACAGCCGAGCTAAGGCCCGCGGGGGAAGCCGATGGCGGCCCGAGGGTGCAGAGGGCTGAGCAGGAGCGGACGGGGAGGAGGGCAGGCCGAGGTCTTTATTTGGGTTGTGGGGTGGGCAGGGCGGGGGGATGGAAGGGACGGCGGATTTCCAGGGGAGGTGGGAGGGGATGCACACGCCCAGGTCCGTTTCCGGGGAGAGAAGCTGCGGTGGTCACTCAGGAAGGGGGCGGGTGGTGCCTGTGCTGGAGGCCTTGTCGGGGTGATGGACAGGCAGCCCCTTGGGGGTCTAGCTCAGCAGTGACCTGAGGTGCTGCTGGGGGGTGGACCCCTTTCTCATTGGCTGGCACTGGGCCGGAGAGCCCCAAACACCCAGAATGGCAGGAAAGTGGAACCTGAGGAAACCTGCCGGGGAATTCCAAAGGAACACGGAAGGAGCTGCGTTGCGTCATCGGTTCTGCCCCGGAATTCCCACTGTCCCTGTTCCGGACTGCGGTCTCCGCCGTCGGGTGGCTGTGTGTGGGGACAGGGCTTGAGGCTGGGGGCCCTCCCTCTCCCGGCGGCCTGGAGCCCTGGGTCCCAGGGAAGAGGAGGGTAGGGCTGTGCAGCCCCCTCCATGAGCCCGCGCAGGGCACCTGTGTCGGGGCGCCCAGGAGCCTTTGGGGAGGCAGGCGAGGGCAAGGCAGGCACGGGGGTGTTGAGCCCAGCTGAACCATCCAGGTGGCCCTGGAGGCCCAGAGGTTGGGGTGCAGACCCTCCTCTGCTGGGGAGCAGGCTGCTTTATCCAACAAGCCTCCAAAAAGGGGTTGTCAGGACCTCTCTCCGGCCCAGTGCAGCTGCGCCCCGCAACTAGCCCTGGCAAGGTGTCCGCGTGGCCAGGTGTCATGTGGGCAGGTGCCTGATGTGGCCAATTGTCCGCGTGGCCAGGTGTCATGTGGGCAGGTGTCTGATGTGGCCAGGTGTCTGCGTGGCCAGGTGTCTGCGTGGCCAGGTGTCTGATGTGGCCAGGTGTCTGATGTGGCCAGGTGTCATGTGGGCAGGTGTCTGCCGTGGCCAGGTGTCTGCCGTGGCCAGGTGTCTGATGTGGCCAGGTGTCTGCGCGGCCAGGTGTCTGATGTGGCCAGGTGTCATGTGGCCAGGTGTCTGCGTGGCCAGGTGTCTGCGTGGCCAGGTGTCTGATGTGGCCAGGTGTCATGTGGGCAGGTGTCTGCCGTGGCCGGGTGTCTGCGTGGCCAGGAGTGAGCTGGGTAGCACACACCACTGAACCCCCTCCCAGCCTCAGGAGGGGCTTGGCCCACGCTCTGGGCATCCTGAGGGCCCTGGGTCCAGGGTGAGTGGGGAGGCTCCAGTGCTCAGAGCCCCCTCGCGGGCTCCCCAGCCAGCACTTGGGCTGTCCTGTCTGGGCGAGGGCTGGCCTGGGACCAGCCTGTGCAGCTAGCGCCCTGGCCTGCAGTGTGTCCAGCTGGCAAGGCGGGCGGAGAGGGAGCCTAAGAATAGCCTTGCGCCCAGGGCTCCGAAATCCCCCGGGCAGAGCGCGGGCAGAAACAGGCCCAGCTCCAGGGTCTGGGTCACTGGGTCAGGCCCCAGGCCGCAGCTTCCTCTGGCTCACACCCCTCCCCGCCGCACCCCGCTCACTCCCCCAGCCTCAGGACCAGAAGCTCCTCACCCTGGAGGCACGGCCCCGCTCACAGGTGGGAAACTGAGGCTCTCAGGAGCAGCTGCCAGGCCTCGCAGGTGCGGGCAGTTGGGGTTCAGAGGGCGCTCTGTGGTTCTGGAAATGGGTGTCAGCCGCTGGCACCACCGGATCGCCCGCCTCGGGAAGGGCTCCCGGGCAGCTTTTCCGGGTGCTGGGTCTCCGGTGCTCGAGGCCATGCATGGCGCTCCCCCCACCAGCCCTGGGGCTCCCACCAGCTGGGCCTGCTGCATCTCTAGCCCAGATGGCGGTAGACCCCATCCGGGGGTCCCCCCAGTAGCGAGGCCACAGCAGTTTGTCGTCAGCGGGAGGAAGGCAGCGTCCCCTCCCTCCCCGCTCTGAGGCCTGGAGCGGTGACTGCTGTGTCCGGTTTTCCTGCAGAGGCCGAGGGACCCGGCAGCCGAGCGTGCGGACCAGACCCCAGCGATGACCAGGTGGGTTCTAGGCCTCAGAGCAGCCTCTGTCCGTCCTGGGGCAAGGGGAGTGGGGTCCCCACTCCTCACGAGCCGGGTTCCCCCAGTTCCCCCGTCTCCAGAGTCGTCTACAACGGCAAGAGGAACAGTAGCCCCCGCTCCCCCCCCAACAGCAGCGAGATCTTCACCCCGGCCCACGAAGAGAATGTGCGCTTCATTTACGAAGGTACAGGGGCCTTCGGGTGAGGGGAGAACAGTTCTTGTGATGGGGGCCTGTCAGCACTTGGGGTTCCCAGTGGGCATTGCCCCCAGAAGAGGCAGTGCTTGCAGCTGGTGGGGGTGGGGTGGGGGTGGAGTGGGGGGAGGGCTGTGGAAGACGGATGTGCACGCTGGGGGAACCCAGTGGTGTCCCAGAAGTGGGGGCTGTGTCCCTGGCGGGGTGAGAGCTGTACCCCAGTGGATCACAATAGCCTCTGGGACCGCAGCCCTGGTCAAACATAACAGGATGAGGGGACCGGCCTGCTAGAGGAGCCGGCAGGAGGCCGAGGGGTGGTCCAGGCGGGTCTCTGAGGGAGTGGGGTGCACTGGGAATGACTTCAGGCCCAGAGCCAGCCCGTCTGGGGGCCACACGCTGAGTGGGGAGATGTGGGCCCAGGAGGGGCTGTGAGGACGCCCTAAGGGGGAGGGTGGTCTCTTGGAGGACACGGTGGGGATGCCGCCCAGTGGGCTGGGGCGCTGACTGCCTCGCCATCCTTAGCCTGGCAGGGCGTGGAGCGGGACCTGCGGAGCCAGATCTCCGGCAACGAGCGGGGCCTGGTGGAGGAGTACGTGGAGAAGGTCCCTAACCCCAGCCTGAAGAGTGAGTGGGCGGGGCCAGCAGGGGCGGGGCCTGCGCAGAAGGTCCCTAACCAGCCTGAAGGGCGGGGCGGGGCAGGAAAGCCCACCTGCTTCCTGTTTCCGGACTGGAGAAGCTGACGGTTGGGTGGGTCCCAGGGCCTCCCGAGGTCGGAGCGGGGTCAGGCGGGAGCCGCCGCCTGCACCCGCACTGACCGGGCTGCCCCCACACAGCCTTCAAACCCATCGACCTGAGCGACCTGAAGCGCCGCACGCAGGATGCCAAGAAGTCCTAAGACCGGGCCTGGCCTCCGGGGGTCCGCGCCCGTGTGCTCCGCTCTCCCCTGGGCCCGGCTCCGGGAGGGGGAGGGGAGCCGGGTGCGCTCCCTGTGGGTGGCAAACCCAGGATCCAGGCGGCGATTGAAGGCCAGCCCGCCCCTCCCCAGCCCTTCCTCTCCCCGGGAGGCTCAGCTGCCGGCCTGGGAGGCTGCCCTGCCAGCCCCGCACTCCCGGCCTCGCCGCCTGGGTGTCTGGAGCTCCCTGGCCTGCCTGCCCCCAGGGTCCTGACCCTGATTCCTGTCTCCCACTGCCCCCGCCCCGGCCACCTCCAGGAATAGGACAGACTGAGGGCCCTCTGGTCTCCTGGGCCTGGGGGTCTCGTCCAGGTTTGACTGAGGTGGCCAGAGGCAAGGCAAGGGCGGCCCCACCCACACCCAGTCTGGGTCCCACGTTGCTGCTTCTCTGGCCTGGACACATGGGAGCAAATAACCCGACCCCTGCACCCCCTCACTGCCCAGCCTGGCCCCTCCTCCAGGCCTGGGTCCCCGGTGCCTCATGGGGCTCTGGCCCTGGGGTGTGTGCCCTGTGGCCGTAGCAGCCCCTCGGCAGGGGCCAGGGCCCTGGGGTCCTGTCTGTTCCCTGCGGGAGGGTCGCCAGGGCCCTTACCCTTTGCTGAGCCCGGGACCCGTGAATAAAGGTGGCGATGCTGGTGCCTCTTGGCAGTCTGTCCCTGCAGCCCACACTCCTGAGCCCCGAAATGTCGTCTGATCTGATCTCGGTCTCTACTGGGGGCTCAGGCCTCTTGGTGGCCTGGAGGACAGGGGGGAAGTGCTGTGGTCCTGGGCCCGCCCCCTGGGGGTAGTGGTACCCTCTGCAGCCTGGACCCACCGAGACCCAAGTGCCCACAACCTTCCAGCCGGAGAGCTGCCGGCCCAGCGGACAGCCACACCACCTCTGTTTTGGGATCATCTCTTCCCAGATAAGCGTTTGGGGCTTGACCCGCAGGTGGCTCTGGGGGTGTCCTCTGGGGGTGGTTCCCCAGCGCCAGACGCAGGAAGGACGTCCGTGCAATAAACAGCCACCCAGGCTGCCAGTGGGCGCTGAGCCGAGTTCCTGTGATCCTGCGGCTTCTGCTCCGGGGCCTGGGAGGGTGTGGAGCCCGGGCTGGGCTGGGTCAGGCCGGGTCGCCGAGCTGTCCCACTGTCCAGCCGGAAGGGAGTGTGCGCCAGGGTGGGCGGGGTTCCCTGGGCTTCCACCAGAGGCTGAGTGAGTGCCGGCACGCATCGCACCCTGCCCCCCAGGAGCCAGACCCGGGGCAGCGGAACCAGCCTGCCATGCTGCCCCGGGGGAGGGGGTTCCGGGAGGAGGGGGCGGGTGGCTGGGGCCCAGCAGCCTGTGCTGCAGGTGTGGTCTCAGCCTCAGTTTCCTCAGGTGGAAACTGGCACCCACCTCCCAGGTGCTGCCACGGTAGAGCAGGTATCCAGCCTTCTGGTGCGAACACCGCTGCCACCAATGGTCACTCTGGATGGTGGCACGGCCTGGAGGCGAGGGCCCTGGGCAGCAGCTGGTGGGGGGGAAGCTGTGTCCCCATGCAAAGTGGGGGTGGGCTGTGGGGAGAGGCTGGGGCTCTGGGGTGGGGTGGAGAGGGGGGAGGAGCATGGTTGAGGATGGGCCTAGAGCTCGCCTTACAGCAGATCCATCCTCCAGGGCCTCCTTCCCCAGGTGGGGCCCAGACATCCCGTCTGGGGGTTCCCCTAACGGACTGCCCTGCCACTTCCTGGTCCCAGGCACTGGGGGCTCAGCCTCCCCAGTGGCTGCCCTGGCCGCCTGGCGCCCCAGCAGATTCCTATCCCTTCTCCCTATGAGGGCAGGGCGGCCTTTGAGCCTGGCTTATTGGGACGTGGCTTTATCTCCATCAGCTGTTCACGGAGCAGACACCGCTCAGAGCTGAGAGCACCCACCGGTCTGTCCCCGTCCTCACCCCGTGTTGTCCTTCAGGGACTAAAGCCCCACTGCCCCTCGCCCCCCTCCCCCCACGTTCTGGATTCGGCTGGTCCCCACGTGGTGGTGACGGGCCTCTCTCTCCTGTGTTTCTGTAAACAGGTGAGACAGGCTCCTGGGGTGGGGTGGGTTCGTAGGAGACTTGGATGTCGGGTATCTGCTCTGCCTGCGCTGAGCGGGCTGCGGGTCGGGGAGACAGGAACCAGCTCGGGGGTGTCCAGCAATCCATAGGGGAGGTGCTGGTGGGGAGTGGGCCCAGTGTGGGTTCCGGGGTCCGGGCTGCAGGTGGAGTCCTCTGGCTGTCGGTTTTTATTTTGAAAATTGACTTTTAAAGATTGACAAGAAGGGAAGAGAGTTGGGCCTGACTGCTGGGGTGCTGCACCCCAGGAGAGCAGGAGGAGGAAGCAGGAAGAGGGGTTGTGCCTTGGAGAGCAGGTGGGGAGGGCCGGGCTGGGGGCTGCCAGGTGCCCGAGGCCAAGGAGCTCCGAGTGGACCTGCCGCCTCAGCTCGACCCCCACCCAAGGCAGCCGCTCCCGCCAGCTGGTCCTCGTATTTCCACCCAAAGGGTAGGCAGAGCCCTGTCTGGATCTTCCCATCCGTGCTCCCTCCCCGCACCCACAGCCCTCCCCCACCCGCCCACCCACCAGCGGTGCTCCCTTCTCCCATACGCCCACGACGCAAGCACTTACACCCGATGTCTGTGTGCTCGGCACTGAGCCATGTGGCAAACGGGTCATTTTCCTTCCCTGCCCTTTTGTTTTCCTTAGTTATTAATTGCCTTCTTTTCCACGTGCTGTTTCCTCTGCCCCTGTCTCCCCGGTCATCCCAGTCTCCTCCCGCTGTGGCCGGTCACTGTGGCCCATTGCTGGTGCCTCCCCGGAGCCCCTGCCCTGCTGGGGCCCGGGTACTCCCTTCCCCCTGCCCCCACCGGGCACCCCTCGTGGGGATGCGCCCTGACGCTCCTGGTGTGATTCTGTTTATCAAAGGCCATGTTTTCCTCTTCCTTGGTCTTCACACTCTTTTTAGTAGCACATGTATGTGCATACACACACACACACGCACGTACATGTGTGCACAGGCTGGTGGGACCGTTGCCCTGGGCGCAAGGGAAGGCCTGGGTGGACGTGGTGAGGGAGGGGAGCCGGCCGGGCATTTGCCTCCCGGTGGAAGATGCTGTGGTGCGGGGCCCTCCCCTGCCCCCCCTCCCGCTGCAGGTCCCCCACTCAGAACCGGGGTTTACTGCTGGGCAGGCCCAGCCCTCCACTCGGCCCGACTCCGCTGGCCACTCCGGCCCCCTGGCACGGGACGGGGCAGAGGAGGACAAGGGCAGAGGGATGGGATGGGGGGGCAGCAGGCGGCCCTGGTGCGGACGCACCCCCAGGCAGTCACTGACCCTGAGCTCAGCCGCCGTGAAGGAGAGCCGCCCTCCCTGTGCCAGCGGGGCCACACAGGCTCCCGGCGCCCTGGGCAGGGCTCCTGGGCAGGGCTCCGAGGAGACGGGCCTGGGACCGGGGCCGGAGGTGGCCTCGGCTGGACCGGGCCCTGGCTGCCCACCAGGACTCTCCCCCACCCGCCTCTGGGCCTGGCCGTGGGCGGCTGGGGTGAGCCCCTCAGGAGGCCCCAGCGCCTGCCGGAGTAATTCTATTTACCTTTCCTGAGAGCCTCCTGTCCTCTCATTTGTCCCATTAGCCCGGCTGTGCCTGAGTGGCTCCGGCCACGTGGCCGCCGCGGTGGGCACCCCTCCCCCGCCCGCTGCCCGCGCCCAGGGCTCCGGAGCAGGGCCACCTGGCTGGCGGCCTGGCCACGCGCTCTGCCCGGCCGCCCCCTCCTGAGGCGCCCCCGCCCCCATCCCACCGGGCTCTCAGCGGGCTGCCAGGGGTGACCTTGGCCCGCTGGTCCCCTCCCGCCCTCGCTCCAGCCCCCTCAGACGCTGTGCCTGGGAGCACGGGGACCTCAGGGCTGCGCCCCTGCCCACACCCCGGTGCCCGGCCGCCCAGCCGCCGCACTCAGCCCCGTCCCGGGGTCAGTCCCCGACAGGGAGGACGATGCCTGGTGAGGCCGGGACACTGCAGTCACCTCACTCGGGCTGTGCAGTCGGGGTCCCCTCTCCCCACTTCACGGGGCCTGCTTGCTACTCAAGCGGCCGGAGCCTGGGTGGAGCAGAGGCGAGCGGAGGACGCGGGCCAGGCTGTCCCAAATGGTCCCTGCTGACCCCCAGTGCAGCCCGTGTCCGTGGGGAGAAGGGTGATGTCAGTGTCCCGGGCCATCGCCCCACATCGTGTACCCCCACTGGCAAATGGTGACCCCTGGGGGCCGGGCCACAGCCAATGCGGGGGGGGGGTGGGGGGCCTGTCCCCTCGGACTGCGATGGCTGAGGCCGCCGGGCCTGGAGAGGCCGCAGCTGTAACCTGAGGCAGCCAGGTGCTGCCGCCTGCACCCACCCAGTCCTATCAGGGTTCAGCTCTAGTCTCTCTGAAAAGTGAAGGGCAGGGCCGACAGGGAAGATGGGGGTAGAGAGGACCTGGGCCCAGCCCGCCCCGGCCCCTCAGAGCGCCCCGCCCCCGTCCCCTCAGAGCGCCCCGCCCTGGCCCCTCAGAGCGCCCCGCCCTGGCCCCTCAGAGCGCCCCGCCCCCGTCCCCTCAGAGCGCCCCGCCCTGGCCCCTCAGAGCGCCCCAGCCCCCTTAGAGCGTCCCGCCTCCTCAGAGCGCCCCGCCCCCTCAGAGCGCCCCGCCCTGGCCCCTCAGAGCGCCCCGCCCCCGTCCCCTCAGAGCGCCCCGCCCTGGCCCCTCAGAGCGCCCCGCCCTGGCCCCTCAGAGCGCCCCGCCCCCGTCCCCTCAGAGCGCCCCGCCCTGGCCCCTCAGAGCGCCCCAGCCCCCTTAGAGCGTCCCGCCTCCTCAGAGCGCCCCGCCCCCTCAGAGCGCCCCGCCCTGGCCCCTCAGAGCGCCCCGCCCCCGTCCCCTCAGAGCGCCCCGCCCTGGCCCCTCAGAGCGCCCCGCCCTGGCCCCTCAGAGCGCCCCGCCCCCGTCCCCTCAGAGCGCCCCGCCCTGGCCCCTCAGAGCGCCCCAGCCCCCTTAGAGCGTCCCGCCTCCTCAGAGCGCCCCGCCCCCTCAGAGCGCCCCGCCCCCTCAGAGCGCCCCAGCCCCCTCAGAGCGTCCCGCCTCCTCAGAGCGCCCCGCCCCCTCAGAGCGCCCCAGCCCCCTCAGAGCGTCCCGCCTCCTCAGAGCGCCCCGCCCCCCCAGAGCGCCCCGCCCCCCTCAGAGCGCCCCGCGCCCCCCCCCCCCCCCGTCCCCTCAAAGCGCCCGCCCCCTCAGAGCGCCCCAGCCCCTCAGAGCGCCCCGCGCCCCCCGCCCCCCTCAGAGCGCCCCGGCCCCCTTCAGAGCGCCCCGCCCCCTCAGAGCGCCCCGCCCACTCAGAGCGCCCCGCCCACTCAGAGCGCCCCGTCCCCCTCTGAGCGCCCCGGGCCCCCTCAGAGCGCCCCGCGCCCCCCGTCCCCTCAGAGCGCCATAGTCCCTTCAGAGCGCCCCGCCCCCTTAGAGCGCCCCGCCCCCTTAGAGTGCCCCGCCCCCTCAGAGCGCCCACCCCCGTCCCCTCAGAGCGCCCCGCCCCCCTCAGAGCCTCCCGCCCCCTCAGAGCGCCCCGTCCCCCTCAGAGCCTCCTGTCCCCTCAGAGCGCCCCGCCCCCCTCAGAGCCTCCCGTCCCCTCAGAGCGCCC